ATTGGATTATCCTCGTTTTTTTATCTGGAGAGATCCTGGACTTGCCGATGTGTCAGGTATGATAGGGAATGAACGAGAACAAAAGTTGCATCTTACTGCTTTGTCCAGACTCCAGAACGACCGGCTACTGTTTTGCGCTTTCATTAGCTCTAGTGCCTCTCTTGCAATATCTTCGTCTCTGACTCTATCGAGCTCGAGATAGCCCTGTGTTGGGGCTGGAACGTTTGTGATTCGATCCCGACCCCGGCTTCTCGACTGCTCCTATCTAGGCTTGAGGAATCTGGCATTATCTCGGCTCTCGTGTTTCCCTTCGATGGTACAGCAGCTGAAAACCGAAAGGGTGCTGCGGCTGAATGATTATTATTACTATTTATTATTATTATTATTATTATTATTATTGTTATTATTATTATTATATTATGTGCGGCAATATAGTCAGCTCATGTCGAGGGACAAGGATACATCCTCCAACGCATCTGCAGTTTGTTTTTCTTTATCACTTACTGGCACGAATGGTTAAATCATCTGGGGGACAACTGCTTCCCATGTTGGCTAGAAAGGAGGGACCAAGTTGTCTCGTCCGGTCAGACAGGATAGTGGCGAGTTTTCGCAAAAACTGAAGGTCGCTTCAAATGGTAATACCCCAAAGGATAATCGATAAAATTACCACATACCATCCCAGTTAACGAGGGAATATCGCCATAGTGTACGATGAGAAATCAATGAGTGGAGAATCGGTAACATAAAATTCTGCTTAGAGCGTGAATTTACCGAACAGGAGGTCCGTGGTTCGAACCCGACCTGTGCATCACGACTTATGTCTAGGCTTGGGCAACCTGGCAATATGTTAGCCTTCGTGCTTCCTTCGGGTGATATGGCAGCTAGGAATTACACATTAATCTTATGGGGGAGCAGATTTAGTCACAGTGTAGTCTGGTGAACGGGCGTCCTAGAAGGGATGAAGGATTTGGGTTCCGTGACCGGGTAGATTGGAGGTAGACAATAGATTTGGACAAGGGAGTTTGTAATTGAAGGGAACTCAGCCGTATGGTCTACTGGATACATGTGGGCGCCGAGAGAATGCGCCAAGGATGCAAACTCCCGCGGTAGGGTTGGGCTGAGTTACCATTTTCACGGTTAAAGTATTGAGAGACTTGTCATCATTAGAAGATCGATAACCACGGCAAAAAAATATTCGTCGCATCAGGGTAATTTGAGTTTATGTCAAAATAGTTGAAAGTCGGTGTCACAAGCGTTCAAGGCAGGAACCTGAGAAATGGGGGAAAGACGCGTGTGGACGCACGCTCCACTCTTAAAACGGAAACAGTGGAAAAGCCCAGTGTTGGGTAGATAGGGCCATCAAGTCCGGAGATTCGGGTCTCGGTGAGGAACAAAAGAGGCCAGTTGGAGGACAAGGATTGATGGACCAAGTTGGTCTTGAAGTTCAACTTTCGGATATTACAGTAAGGCTTAGAAATCACATGAGACAGTAGAACGAGGTATCCTTGTATTTTTAGTTTTCATGTTTGTTTGATGAATGAAATGCCGATATCCCAACTCAGATGCTTGGCCTGGTGAGCCACATAAGAGTCCTTGACGATATTACCCCCTCGAGCCACAGCGTGGGCCACCTCACAGCAAAGCCATGATAAAGAGGTCAGGGAAACAGACTTTGCTTCCGAGAGTCTGAAAGACTTTCTGTTTCCGAACCTCATTGAGGAATCAGGGCTCCAAAATACTTCGATGGACAGACGAAGAGAATGACTGTCGTCAAGCTAAAGTTGAGTGAGTATCATCGGCTGACGTACGAAAGCAGAGAAATGCTCAATAGAACTGATTCTTCGAGCTCAGGAGCTTTTACCTGTTAGCATGTTAAATGAGCCCTGATCAGACGAACGCAGATGTGCAAACTACGATGACTTACTGGTTATCTTTCTCTTGGCCGCAAAGTTTCTCTATGCAACATCTGTAGTTTAAATTTTGCCGTTCACTTCCATGTTCCTCGTCTGGACTGATTATCCAGATTTCACCTAACCATTCCTAACAAATAACCACTACTGTCTTGGATCGGAGGACGGGAACCTAATCAGTGCCACTTCCTCTTCTTTGCCACTTTTATCAATATACTGCTAGTCCAGTTCGCCTTCTAAACACTGTTCGTCCGTTCGGGTTGCCACATCATCCGAATGCCGGTACTGCAAGATGAAAAAGAGGTTTGATTGAGATCCTTTATTTAGGAGAGGAAACAGCGAGTTTATGGTGGGAGGTTGGACATAAGCGAGTGCATGCAACAGCGCCATTGGTTGCTGGACGTAGCTGGTTTCTAACCATTGATGGAATCGATTCGAACCAGCATGACCATGACCCATGGTTAAACTGCTCATCGTCCCAAAATCATGCTTTACCAATTCTGATTGCTCCCCCAGTCAGGATAGGTTTCAACAAACATCTGATTAACGAATCTGCATTAACTATTTGTGTTATGTTTGTCAGGCACTAAACGGTAGTGATTTTCAGTGTTGAATGTCGACTGCGTACTTACTTCGGTCTGATCTCGTCGCAGGACACTACGTCTTTGAGGATTATAGCATCTGAAATTCGGAATGGCTCTACTATTCCCCACATACATACTACAAGCCTTGAGACAGGTTTTTTTCGGTCATCAGTTTATATATCCGTTCTGGCAGGTGTCCCCAGCTAAAATGGTGGCAAACTGAACCCCAGGTCATTTTGCAACTACGGTACACTCCGGTTATACTAACATCCGTGATGACGGACCGTTGCCTTCCGCCGCCTGCTAGATTCGGAAGAAGTATTTCCATTACACTATCCGCTATCCTGAAATTCAACACTTCAGTGAGCATCCTAAGAATACCTATCTTAGATTACTCAGCGGCTTGTTTTGAACAGTGAGTGTCGGTTGTAGCGTAGGCTGTCCTATCGATTACTTGTTGACCCAATAGATGGACGTAATCGGTAGCTGTGAGGGCATTCTAATTAGGCAAGCTAACAATTAAATCTCGGCAATCAATTGTGGTTTTGAATATGAGCGTGGATGACAAAAACGACGTAGGTAGCTTCGCCCTTATTGGCACAACATTTCGTCACACACCCCGTTTCTTTATTGTTTCACTGCAATATACTTATGCCATAATTCTGCACAACTTATCCAGGAATAAGCAAAATTGATACCCTTTTTATATCTCCCGCGATGAACAAAGTGGACGTTGCTAAACGGTCAAAAGCTACAAATTGACCCTCCGTGGGGCTATAAAGGTGAAAGAGAGATCCTGCCATTTTCTTTCGTGACCTTGATAAAATTTCTAAACACAGATTCCAGTCTTTTTTCAGAGGTAGTTGATGAGATTTCTACTCAACGGAATTTGCTACTGAATTATGTTGCACCATACCCTTACGAACTGAACCGTTTCACTGTGGCACCCCCTCGGTACCCAGCTGTCATGTTACCCGAAGGAAGCACAAAGGCTGAGATACTACCAGGTTATCCAAGACTGGACAGAAGCAGTCGAGATGCAGAGGTGGGTTTCGACCGCGAACACTACGGTCAGTAAGTTCGTACCCTAACCACTCAGCTATCTCGAGCTTACCGTAAATTACAATCACTCGGTAGTCTCGTGTAAAGCGCTTCCAAGCAGTTATATGCGGATGGATCCACATATAACTGATTGCGTCTGTGACGATCTCAGTACCCCTCGTGCTTATAGATCCCACAGACTCAGGAGGTATGCTATCTGTAGCTCCTGGAAGCTTGCCAGCAAGAGTACTACATTCGCCCACAGGCCAAGGAAACTTCAATTAGACGGCTCAATGGTTAACATAGCGAACTTGTTTTTCCCTTACACGCGTTTGAAGGCATTCCGGCAAATAAGCAACCAGCTCCTCTCTTGAAAACTACACATTTTCACTCTAAAATATTTAAGATTATGCATTTTTAACTTCACGGTTGTAATTTCCTTTTAGGCTCGTTTGATCGGGAACCAATCATGCAGAAATTGAAAGCAGTTACATAAATAAAGGAGCATATTGCCTCAGTTTAGCTAAGTATCGACCAGTAACCCTTTTTTCCCTGTGCTATGTAATGTTATGTAGTCTACCTTTAAACAGTACTCAGAGACTCACTCTAATGCGGTTGACTCCTGGTGACGTTTGTCCGCGTGCGCGTTTCTTGTTTTCGCACATACAATGTGAAAACGAGCGGGTTTCATTTGAGCTGATTTTTGTTCTCGTCACGGCTGCTTTGGAGTCAATGCTCAGCCGTATCGTCTTGATGGACACAGCTAATTCTCAACCAACTTATTGCCTCTCACTTCTTTCCGCAGTCAAATGGGAACAGCTTTACTGCGAGCAGATGTTTTCCCAACACACTACATTGTAACAGATCTCGCAGGAACATCCCGGTAGGATACAAACAAAGGCGTTCGCAGTCAAACTGAGTTCAGTGGGATCTTCGTAGCTATACCTTTCTAAGCCTTGCAAATTAGTACATGGTAAGAATCCGCTCCGGCCTGTGGTCAGATAACCTGTACCCAGCACACCTTCGTGCCTTCGTTTCTGTGGCCCAAACGATCCTCTTTCCGTTGGGAGCCTGCTGTCACCTCCAAACCGGGCTGTCTTCCCAAAATTTGTGACATTGCACCCTAGGCCCAAATTGGGTGAGGTTCACCAAACACTTTGGGTAAATACCGCTGAATCCATATGACTCCGAAATGATGATCGGGTGGGTGTGCTTATTTCAGTATCGATGGGCGTTCTTCCATTGATAAGTTCTCTTAGAGAAAGGAGGCCTTTTAGGACTCAGTTTCACTTCTTCCTCTCTTTGTCGTGGCATTCATTCCTTACCGTTGTATCAGATTATAACCAGTTTATAACACTGGTTTTCTACTGCAGATACTAATGCTGATAGGTCGGCATACTCTCTGCAGCTCCACTTGAAGATAATTGAAGATCACTTCAATCATTTCCAATTGCCCAAGCGCGGTGTGAAACTTAATGGTGTAATGAGCTGGAAGCAGTGATAGGCATGGCGTTCTTCTTGTGCCTCTTTCTTTATCAGCACCAATTCACGAGTTCACGTCATAGTCAGAGCTGCTTTCTTAAAGTCACGCAACTCTACTGAGTGGTCGTTTCTAAACTCAGGCGTTTCGTGATTTTCAGCCCTCTCATTGATCCATGATGGCGCAACCGAATATACAGCAAATTTTCCAGCAGTAAGTATCGTTTACTTCAGCGCTTCATACTTTTTCTAGGGTCGATCGCAATAGAAGTGGCCAAATTGAAGGTCCGGAATTGCAAATGGCGCTGCAGAATGGTAAGTTTTATCACACCATCTATTCCGTGTTTGCTGGTTTTCGCATTTTGCACTGTGGTTCACATGACAGGCGTTTCTGATTTTCAGCCCTCTCATTGATCCATGATGGCGCAACCGAATATACAGCAAATTTTCCAGCAGTAAGTATCGTTTACTTCAGCGCTTCATACTTTTTCTAGGGTCGATCGCAATAGAAGTGGCCAAATTGAAGGTCCGGAATTGCAAATGGCGCTGCAGAATGGTAAGTTTTATCACACCATCTATTCCGTGTTTGCTGGTTTTCGCATTTTGCACTGTGGTTCACATGATCGGTCCGATTACTTCGAATTTCCCAGCAGTCCGAATGGAGGGGCTGACAGAAACAGTCTTTGGACCTGCAGACGGTCTAGGTGGAATTTTGATGAACATCCGAGAGGTGGACATAGCTGTGATCTTCCATAAGGCTTTAAAATAAATTGTGGTCTCATGGAAACGAAGTGTCAGTGTTGAACACTGATGTGCTAACCATGGTGCCGGTGGTGATAAAGCAAAATGATGCTTTATCGTTTGACTTCTTTAATCAGGTGGTATACAAAACCCAAACTCATCCATAGTCCTTGTTTCTTTGCCCCATTTATTCGCTCATGTCTCCTTTTTATCATCCTTACATTGCTCTTTACTTCGCATCCGTCAGGCGTTGGAACGCAGTTTAATATGAAAACAATCGACCTGATGATATGCATGTTTGACCGGGATGGGAATGGAAACATGAACATGCAGGAATTTGCCCAACTGTTCAACTACGTACAACAATGGATGGCCTGTTTCAAGCAGTATGACAGGGATGGATCCGGGACCATTAGTTGTCAGGAGCTCCACCATGCTTTGAGCTCATTTGGATTTCGTCTGTCTCCCCAATTCATCTCTCTGATGATCCGCAAGTTCGACAGAACCCGTCGTGGACAGATTGCTTTTGATGACTTCATGTTAGCTTGTGTTTGTTTGCAGGTAAGCTGTTTTCACTGGGTATTTTGTCCCAACCACTAGGGGACTATGTTGTCTTAGTAACCGATTGGGATATCAGGCAGATTTTTAACGAACGCTACCCGTTTGTTTGCCTCAAAACGACGATTGAAAATAAAATACTGATCACGTGACCCAGTGTTTAATAAATCGCACAAAAGTTCTCAAAGTGGGTCGTTCAAACTGTGATTCACCGATTTATGTACATCGGTCACCCCACTGACCTGTTTATCCCTAGTTATTGGGATGTGCAGTTTGATCCTGATCAACCTGTTTATGTCTTTTGCAGCCGTGGTTGGACGACATGATATCCAGAGCGTTCCTTTAGCATTAAAACACTAAAATTATGGTAAATTTGGTTGAGTTGGAGCATTTTTTCAAGCATTTCTCTTACGTTTATGCGGCCCAAAGCGACCGCTCATGGCATCTGTTTGTAGAGTGGATCCTAATAGCCGCAATGTGAGCACTGTATTGTAAATACATCTCGAGGTGGCAAGTCTGCTAAAGGACTCCCGACTACTGATGTTCGCAGTTGCTTCGGATGTTGTCGAAAAAGCGGGTAGATAATTTCGAACCACCTGCTTCCCTTATGTCACTGCGGTTAATCGCATCGCATACTACATACGAACGCCGAAAGGTGGGAAATGCAGGGTATTCTAAAGCTTTGGCTGTCGGACTTATTTAATTTGATTGTTTAAAGCTTGATTAATGATTGTGTGTCGAGGTAGCCTTGGATTAACCTACAGTTCTATTTACAGTTCTATTTTTATATAGAAACTCTAATGTTTTCCTGTATCTAACGTGTTAATCGGAAGGGAATACACCCATCTGTTTCGTACAACTGTTTGCTTTTTTACTGAGGTTGTGATAGGGGAAAAGAGCTGTAATGATAATAGTCCCAATACTGATGATAATAGGGGGGAATGTTGGTAGCTCAGGTAGCGTAGATGGTCGATGGTTTGTTCGCTGAGCTGGGCAATCTGACTGCACACGTTTCATCACCAATCGAAGTGACATCAGCAGTGCGTTTTCAGGGAGTGTAGTGGTGCGTAGCGATGGGTTGGTTGTTGCGCTACGCACCACTACGCTCCTTAACAACGCACCAATGATGTCGCGCCGATTGGTGATGAAACGTGCAATCAAACTGCCCAGGCCAGCGAAATAAACCAACGACTGATGTTGATAATTGTAGTAATCGTTCAGCTATGATACTTTTCTCGGCGCCTAGCTCCCATTCCACGCGAAGGAGGCATGGTGGCTGAGTTACTGTCAGGTTTCCCAACATGTGGAATATTTTCACTCTGGTATATCCGTACTCTCCTGCTAGTTTATTAGTTGACCAGCCATCAGAATTTCACGGTTAAGCTGGAACGGGACTTATTTCGGCTTGTTGGCAACATTCAGGGCCGCTAGTTCTTGATCTTTTTTACATATGAGACCTCAGTACAGTTCTCCAACCCGACATTCCTCTATTCGATGACGAGTAGTCGCGCTGATTATACAACCGCCGCACAAGGACTGCCTCATGAGAACCGGTTCATCAGCTACAACCATTGCTAAAATGTGTATTACGTTTGTCACTGTCCAGCAGAATTCAATTCCTTGTTTTTGGTTTTATTGGTCAGCAAAGCAAAGGTCGGTGACACTGGAGATAGCTCAGCTGAGACACCCTAAACATGCATCAAGCATGAGAGCTAAGCTATTGTCAGCGTGCCCGACTCCAGTCAGGAGCAATCGATGCTCCGTGGTTGGTTTGGAATCTTCCGGTCAGTAGCCTCGGGCCTTAACTACCGGGCCACCTCGAACCCAGCTCGGAGGATAGGAGTGTCATCATAACGGGCCGTTAGACATATTCCGACGCTGTGAAAGGTACTATCCATCATGGTCAGTGAAAAGAGGTCATGTTTTCCCCCTTGCGAGTGACTTGGAAGCAAAGTTAGTCGACACATTTCCGTAGGCGCTCATCTAGGCGAGCGATTCACAGCAGATTCTTGTAACAGAGATCAGACAACAGGGAACTAATCTTCGGCTGTGCGTTGTTCATGACTGGTTGGGAACTTCCGGTCAGTAGCCTCGGGCCTTAACTACCGGGCCACCTCGAACCCAGCTCGGAGGATAGGAGTGTCATCATAACGGGCCGTTAGACATATTCCGACGCTGTGAAAGGTACTATCCATCATGGTCAGTGAAAAGAGGTCATGTTTTCCCCCTTGCGAGTGACTTGGAAGCAAAGTTAGTCGACACATTTCCGTAGGCGCTCATCTAGGCGAGCGATTCACAGCAGATTCTTGTAACAGAGAGCAGACAACAGGGAACTAATCTTCGGCTGTGCGTTGTTCATGACCTATTTTTGGCCATCTTTAGCATAAACGCTTATACTCTCACCGAGTTAAGCCAGTTGAACCATGTGACAAACAAGTACCAAGACTGTCGCTACCTCAGAAGTTATCCATCTTGGGGTCCCCATCCGGGGAATACGACGGCCTCCAGTATGCGTGAGCTTGTTGATGGTGGTGATGCATTACGAAACTTTTGGCTCTTCTGATGGTTTACATGCAGTACATTTCCAAGCGACGGACATGGTCAGACTAGTTAAACGAACAGTGTGCATCTGGATAATCTGCGATGGCCTATTTATCTCTCGAAATTTTTGATGACCATACATAACCCAAAGACTGCTGACGTGATATGTGAATGCCTTCATCGGATAGGCTAACGTTTCCTTCTGGAGAGACCGTCTCAAGAAACTGAATGTGAGTGGTCTGTTCTGGCTAGGGGGAGTCAAACGTCGAAATGCTATCCGAGAGACCGATTAAAAGTGGGATACTCTCCCCATAAAGGTGTAACGGCACTACAGTTTCTGAGAGGATGATGCCCCTTTATTTCGATTTTGTTTTTCTCACCAGAGTTTCGGTCGGAAACAAGGACCGTACGTAAACATATTCGAAGCCGTTCACTTACTGTGTTTGCTCAGTCTGTTGTGTAAAGATACGTACAAGACGTGTTGTGAGCGACTTTAGTTGACATGATCAGCACAGATCGATATTGGATGCAAACCCTTGTTCAGTATCACGCGATCGACGAGTTGGTTGCGGTGATCACAGCACTCAACATCTTCCTGGTAATTTTGTTAATGGCCCTCTTGAATCAGGGGATCTTTGTTACTCATGTATCCTGATTCCTTCTTTGTTCTGCACCAACTAGTGTTGGCTTCTGCGAGTCTTCTGAACCCCTTATGTCACACTAAGCTGCTATTCCTGTGCTTCTCGTTTGATTCTGTTAATCCTGCACTGTACGAAGAGCCTAGCATACTTGCCGTCTGATGGTATCCAATCATAGACACCAAGAATTGTTTTCAACCTGACATTCGTCGTATATTATTCCTCGAAAGCCTCTTCATAATTGGGACAGATGTTTTATTTCAAACTGGACGAGAGCGTTTATATCTGTCAGTGAAAGCCTGTGGTGGGAGACTGTGTTCGGTGTCATCCGGGAAAGTACCACCTTCCAAGTCCAATGTGATTTTGTACTGTAAACCCCGGAATTAGGTTGGCCCCTTGCGTGTTTTTTTAGTGTTTTATCTCAGCTAACCGCTTATGTCAGATACCGTCTTCCACAGGATAGATGATTTCGATTATCCGAACTCTATGCTGAACCTGACACTTCTGGGACGACCTCAAGATAACCCCGGAATAGGTTGGCCCCTTGCGTGTTTTTTTAGTGTTTTATCTCAGCTAACCGCTTATGTCAGATACCGTCTTCCACAGGATAGATGATTTCGATTATCCGAACTCTATGCTGAACCTGACACTTCTGGGACGACCTCAAGATGTTGATGTCTGGCTGAACGGCTGGTACCGGTTGATATACGTAAGCGCACTCCACGGAATGGATCACTCCACCTTGCCACTCATCTGTTCCAGGTGTGAACAAGTAACATGGCCTAAAATATCCTCATGAGAATAAGACAAGCTCTTCTAGAAGCTTGTAGCTCGTGCTGTACGTTTGGTATCAAGAAAGCCTATGACAACTGTCATCAGGTTGGCAGTCTGTGCCCTCTTGGAAATCTGGTGGTAGGTAGGCCTCTATCATCATCTGATCTCTCACGTGCGCTAATTGAAGTGCCGTGGTTGTTCGAGTGCGTGCTGAAACAGAAGTTGTTTATTTCGACACAGAGATCAAGTGCAGTTCAGGCGTGACCCTCTTTTGAAGCAGTCATGCGTTCTTTTTGGTAGCTGCGTAATCTTTTCCTTCCAGTCGGAAATGAGGTGGGAGGCTGATAAAAGGCAGCCTCAAGACTTGCTCCCGCCTCTTTACATGGCTGACCATCGCCGAAACCTTCTTAGCTAACACGGTTAAAGGAACATAAATACTTCCGCTGTACCTCCCAGCTCGCGGAACGCCGAACACTGATGGATCAAGCAGATAACCAGGTTCGTCTTCATGTAAGCGCGCCACCTTTGTTTTTGTGAAACTACAAAGATGGACTCAGTAGTGTGATCCTAAGTGGAACATGGCTGGCTGCCCAAGGGAGTCTTCGCAAAGATGGTTCCGGATACAGAGCCTACTGGATCGGCTACCTAGCAGGAGAGAAACGGGATCATATCTGTTTTGTCCTGTCCGACCGTAAATTCCTGACCCAGAGCTATTTGAAATCAATCCATGTCTTAGCTCACTGCGGCTGAAATTGATGTGTCAAAATTACGTGACTATAATCGTTCGTATACTCCAGTAATATGCTCATCAGAAGACGATGAAGACAAGTTCTGCGCAGGTTGGTCTGTTCAGCGCCTCGAAGAAGACTCGCTATGCACCAACCTCCGCCGAGTGGGGTCTCCAGCAGTACTGGAACGATGTTTGTAGACTCCTGTGCAGACGTCTGCTTCCAATACACCTTCAATTGATTTGATAGTCGACTGTGAGCTGAGATTCCGTTTTTCCAAGATCATTGTGGACCTTATAGTATCAAAGAGGGACGTAAAAGA